GCACGCACTCTTACTCGACACTGCAATCCCCTTCAGCCCCAATGGGCGCCGCACATACCTGCCCTGCCCCTCACTTGCTCCTCACTTGCTCCTCACCTGCTCCTCACTTGCCCCTCACCTCACCTGCTCCTCACCTTTCTCCCCCACTGCTTACCTGCTGCTACCCACACCACCGTCAGCCCTAAACCTCACCTGTCAACCTCCTCTTCAGTGGTAAATCAGCCGAATCCGAATCGAATCGAAGTATGGGCCATCTCCTCCACCACGCCCAGCGCCCGCAGCACATAGCTGGGCTCGAGAATCGCACTCGTGCACGCACTCTTACTCGACACTGCAATCCCCTTCAGCCCCAATGGGCGCCGCACATACCTGCCCTGCCCCTCACTTGCTCCTCACTTGCTCCTCACCTGCTCCTCACTTGCCCCTCACCTCACCTGCTCCTCACCTTTCTCCCCCACTGCTTACCTGCTGCTACCCACACCACCGTCAGCCCTAAACCTCACCTGTCAACCTCCTCTTCAGTGGTAAATCAGCCGAATCCGAAGCGAATCGACGTATGGGCCATCTCCTCCACCACGCCCAGCGCCCGCAGCACATAGCTGGGCTCGAGAATCGCACTCGTGCACGCACTCTTACTCGACACTGCAATCCCCTTCAGCCCCAATGGGCGCCGCACATACCTGCCCTGCCCCTCACTTGCTCCTCACTTGCTCCTCACCTGCTCCTCACTTGCCCCTCACCTCACCTGCTCCTCACCTTTCTCCCCCACTGCTTACCTGCTGCTACCCACACCACCGTCAGCCCTAAACCTCACCTGTCAACCTCCTCTTCAGTGGTAAATCAGCCGAATCCGAAGCGAATCGACGTATGGGCCATCTCCTCCACCACGCCCAGCGCCCGCAGCACATAGCTGGGCTCGAGAATCGCACTCGTGCACGCACTCTTACTCGACACTGCAATCCCCTTCAGCCCCAATGGGCGCCGCACATACCTGCCCTGCCCCTCACTTGCTCCTCACTTGCTCCTCACCTGCTCCTCACTTGCCCCTCACCTCACCTGCTCCTCACCTTTCTCCCCCACTGCTTACCTGCTGCTACCCACACCACCGTCAGCCCTAAACCTCACCTGTCAACCTCCTCTTCAGTGGTAAATCAGCCGAATCCGAATCGAATCGACGTATGGGCCATCTCCTCCACCACGCCCAGCGCCCGCAGCACATAGCTGGGCTCGAGAATCGCACTCGTGCACGCACTCTTACTCGACACTGCAATCCCCTTCAGCCCCAATGGGCGCCGCACATACCTGCCCTGCCCCTCACTTGCTCCTCACTTGCTCCTCACCTGCTCCTCACTTGCCCCTCACCTCACCTGCTCCTCACCTTTCTCCCCCACTGCTTACCTGCTGCTACCCACACCACCGTCAGCCCTAAACCTCACCTGTCAACCTCCTCTTCAGTGGTAAATCAGCCGAATCCGAAGCGAATCGAAGTATGGGCCATCTCCTCCACCACGCCCAGCGCCCGCAGCACATAGCTGGGCTCGAGAATCGCACTCGTGCACGCACTCTTACTCGACACTGCAATCCCCTTCAGCCCCAATGGGCGCCGCACATACCTGCCCTGCCCCTCACTTGCTCCTCACTTGCTCCTCACCTGCTCCTCACTTGCCCCTCACCTCACCTGCTCCTCACCTTTCTCCCCCACTGCTTACCTGCTGCTACCCACACCACCGTCAGCCCTAAACCTCACCTGTCAACCTCCTCTTCAGTGGTAAATCAGCCGAATCCGAATCGAATCGACGTATGGGCCATCTCCTCCACCACGCCCAGCGCCCGCAGCACATAGCTGGGCTCGAGAATCGCACTCGTGCACGCACTCTTACTCGACACTGCAATCCCCTTCAGCCCCAATGGGCGCCGCACATACCTGCCCTGCCCCTCACTTGCTCCTCACTTGCTCCTCACCTGCTCCTCACTTGCCCCTCACCTCACCTGCTCCTCACCTTTCTCCCCCACTGCTTACCTGCTGCTACCCACACCACCGTCAGCCCTAAACCTCACCTGTCAACCTCCTCTTCAGTGGTAAATCAGCCGAATCCGAATCGAATCGACGTATGGGCCATCTCCTCCACCACGCCCAGCGCCCGCAGCACATAGCTGGGCTCGAGAATCGCACTCGTGCACGCACTCTTACTCGACACTGCAATCCCCTTCAGCCCCAATGGGCGCCGCACATACCTGCCCTGCCCCTCACTTGCTCCTCACTTGCTCCTCACCTGCTCCTCACTTGCCCCTCACCTCACCTGCTCCTCACCTTTCTCCCCCACTGCTTACCTGCTGCTACCCACACCACCGTCAGCCCTAAACCTCACCTGTCAACCTCCTCTTCAGTGGTAAATCAGCCGAATCCGAATCGAATCGACGTATGGGCCATCTCCTCCACCACGCCCAGCGCCCGCAGCACATAGCTGGGCTCGAGAATCGCACTCGTGCACGCACTCTTACTCGACACTGCAATCCCCTTCAGCCCCAATGGGCGCCGCACATACCTGCCCTGCCCCTCACTTGCTCCTCACTTGCTCCTCACCTGCTCCTCACTTGCCCCTCACCTCACCTGCTCCTCACCTTTCTCCCCCACTGCTTACCTGCTGCTACCCACACCACCGTCAGCCCTAAACCTCACCTGTCAACCTCCTCTTCAGTGGTAAATCAGCCGAATCCGAATCGAATCGACGTATGGGCCATCTCCTCCACCACGCCCAGCGCCCGCAGCACATAGCTGGGCTCGAGAATCGCACTCGTGCACGCACTCTTACTCGACACTGCAATCCCCTTCAGCCCCAATGGGCGCCGCACATACCTGCCCTGCCCCTCACTTGCTCCTCACTTGCTCCTCACCTGCTCCTCACTTGCCCCTCACCTCACCTGCTCCTCACCTTTCTCCCCCACTGCTTACCTGCTGCTACCCACACCACCGTCAGCCCTAAACCTCACCTGTCAACCTCCTCTTCAGTGGTAAATCAGCCGAATCCGAATCGAATCGACGTATGGGCCATCTCCTCCACCACGCCCAGCGCCCGCAGCACATAGCTGGGCTCGAGAATCGCACTCGTGCACGCACTCTTACTCGACACTGCAATCCCCTTCAGCCCCAATGGGCGCCGCACATACCTGCCCTGCCCCTCACTTGCTCCTCACTTGCTCCTCACCTGCTCCTCACTTGCCCCTCACCTCACCTGCTCCTCACCTTTCTCCCCCACTGCTTACCTGCTGCTACCCACACCACCGTCAGCCCTAAACCTCACCTGTCAACCTCCTCTTCAGTGGTAAATCAGCCGAATCCGAATCGAATCGACGTATGGGCCATCTCCTCCACCACGCCCAGCGCCCGCAGCACATAGCTGGGCTCGAGAATCGCACTCGTGCACGCACTCTTACTCGACACTGCAATCCCCTTCAGCCCCAATGGGCGCCGCACATACCTGCCCTGCCCCTCACTTGCTCCTCACTTGCTCCTCACCTGCTCCTCACTTGCCCCTCACCTCACCTGCTCCTCACCTTTCTCCCCCACTGCTTACCTGCTGCTACCCACACCACCGTCAGCCCTAAACCTCACCTGTCAACCTCCTCTTCAGTGGTAAATCAGCCGAATCCGAATCGAATCGACGTATGGGCCATCTCCTCCACCACGCCCAGCGCCCGCAGCACATAGCTGGGCTCGAGAATCGCACTCGTGCACGCACTCTTACTCGACACTGCAATCCCCTTCAGCCCCAATGGGCGCCGCACATACCTGCCCTGCCCCTCACTTGCTCCTCACTTGCTCCTCACCTGCTCCTCACTTGCCCCTCACCTCACCTGCTCCTCACCTTTCTCCCCCACTGCTTACCTGCTGCTACCCACACCACCGTCAGCCCTAAACCTCACCTGTCAACCTCCTCTTCAGTGGTAAATCAGCCGAATCCGAATCGAATCGACGTATGGGCCATCTCCTCCACCACGCCCAGCGCCCGCAGCACATAGCTGGGCTCGAGAATCGCACTCGTGCACGCACTCTTACTCGACACTGCAATCCCCTTCAGCCCCAATGGGCGCCGCACATACCTGCCCTGCCCCTCACTTGCTCCTCACTTGCTCCTCACCTGCTCCTCACTTGCCCCTCACCTCACCTGCTCCTCACCTTTCTCCCCCACTGCTTACCTGCTGCTACCCACACCACCGTCAGCCCTAAACCTCACCTGTCAACCTCCTCTTCAGTGGTAAATCAGCCGAATCCGAATCGAATCGACGTATGGGCCATCTCCTCCACCACGCCCAGCGCCCGCAGCACATAGCTGGGCTCGAGAATCGCACTCGTGCACGCACTCTTACTCGACACTGCAATCCCCTTCAGCCCCAATGGGCGCCGCACATACCTGCCCTGCCCCTCACTTGCTCCTCACTTGCTCCTCACCTGCTCCTCACTTGCCCCTCACCTCACCTGCTCCTCACCTTTCTCCCCCACTGCTTACCTGCTGCTACCCACACCACCGTCAGCCCTAAACCTCACCTGTCAACCTCCTCTTCAGTGGTAAATCAGCCGAATCCGAATCGAATCGACGTATGGGCCATCTCCTCCTCCACTCCCAGCGCCCGCAGCACATACCTGTCCTGTCCTGTCCTGTCCTGTCCTGCCCTGCTTCTCACCTGTCCTATCCTCAGTTGCTTCTCACCTGTCCACCTCCTCTTCCGTGGTAAATCGTCCAAACCCAAACCTAATCAATGTATGAGCCATTTCTTCCTCTACTCCCAGCACCCACAGCACGTAACTTGGCTCCAAAGTCGCACTCGTGCACGCACTCCCACTTGACACCGTAATCTCCTTCAGCCCAAATACCCACACCATATATCTGTTCCTCCCCTGCGTCTCTCTTGTTTTTCCCCTGTTTCTCACCTGCCTCTTACCTGCCTCTCACCTGCTTATCCCCTGCTCCTGCTACCCACAACACCGCCAGCCCTAAAACTCACCTGTCCACCTCCTCTTCTGTCGTGAATCGACCGAATCCGAACCGGATGGAAGTATGGGCCATTTCCTCCTCCACGCCCAGCGCCCGCAGCACATAGCTGGGCTCGAGGCTTGCACTCGTGCATGCACTCCCACTTGACACTGCAATCTCCTTCAACCCCATCAGCAGGCTCTCCCCCTCCACATACGCAAACGAGAGGTTCAGATTGCCCGGGTACCGCTTCCCGGGTTCATCCGAGCCGTTGATCACCACCCCTTCCAGCTGCGACGTTATCCCCTTTAAAAGACGCTGCTTTAAGCGCTCGGCGTGGAGGTAATCGCGCTCTAGTTCCGCTTCGGCGACTGCGCATGCCGCACCTAGCCCGACCACCAGCGGGGTTGGTACGGTACCGGACCTGAGACCCCGTTCCTGGCCTCCGCCGCTCATTTGAGGCTCGAGCCTGACTCTCGGTCGGCGGCGCACGTACAACGCGCCAACGCCCTTCGGACCGTAGATCTTATGACTGCTAAGCGAGAGAAGATCAATGTTTAGCTCGTCGACACTTAGCGGGATTTTCCCCGCCGCCTGAGCCGCGTCGGTGTGGAAAAAGATTTTGTTTTCCCGGCAGAGCTGCCCGATTTCGGCAAGCGGCTGGATGACGCCGATCTCGTTGTTAACAGTCATGATCGAAACAAGAACCGTGTCGGGGCGGATCGCGGCCTTTAGGGTTTCAAGGTCGATGAGACCGTCGGAGCCGACGGGGAGGTAAGTCACGTCAAATTCCTCCTGCTGCAGGTGCCGGCATGAGTCCAACACACACTTGTGCTCTGTCTGTGTGGTGATCACGTGCTTCTTCTTGTCCCTGGAGGGTTGAAGGGTGCAGAAAGGGAATGGAGAGAGAGAGAAGAGGGGGGGAGAGAAGGAGAGAAGAGGGAAATGGGAGGAGGAGGAAAGAGAAAGAGGTAAGTGACGTCGAATCCCTCCTGCTGCAGGTGCCGGCACGAGTCCAACACACACTTGTGCTCGGTTTGAGTGGTTATCACGTGCCGCTTCTTGTCCCTGCATGGTTGACGTGGGGGGGAAGGGGTATGGGGAGAGGGGAACAGGAGGAGGGGAAAAAAGGAAGAGGGGGGGGGGGGGGGGGGGGGGGAGGAGAACCATGTCCGGGTGGATTGCGGCTTTAAGAGTTTCAATGTCAACAAAGCCTGTCAGAGCCGACGGGGAGGTAAGTCACGTCGAATCCCTCCCGCTGCAGGTGCCGGCATGAGTCCAACACACACTTGTGCTCGGTTTGAGTGGTTATGACATGGCGCTTCTTGTCCCTGGAAAATAGATGTGGGGAGGGAACGGGTGGAAAAGAAGGGAGAAGAGGGGGTGGGGGTAAAGGAGAGAGGGAGCAACCAGGGGCTGGGGGAAGAGGGAGAGGTGAGAATAAAAATTGACAGGGAGGTAAGTGGCGTCGAATCCCTCCTGCTGCAGGTGCCGGCACGAGTCCAACACACACTTGTGCTCGGTTTGAGTGGTTATGACATGGCGCTTCTTCTCCCTGGGGAGTTGACGTGGAGGGGAGAGGGGTATGGGAGAAGGGAACGGGAGGAGAGAAAGTGGGGGTGGGGAACAGGGGTGCAGATCTGGAGCTGACACAGACAAGAGTCCAGCACCCACTTGAGCTCCGTCTGAGTGGTAATACTGTGTCGCTTCTTGTCCCTGGGGGGTTGAAGTGTGTTGGGGGAGGAGAGCGGGGAGGAGGCGGAGGGGGTGGAGCAGGCAAGGGGGTACAGGGGGAGGGCAACCAGCGGAAAGGGGAGGGGGGGGAGGGCACCAGGGAGGAGAGGAGGAAAAGAGGGACATGTGAGACAAGGGATTGCAAAGGCAGGTGAGTGACATGGCATGCAGCCGGAATTGGAATCACTTCTGAGAATTTTCAACCTATATAACTGGGGACCATTCACATCCACCAACCAGTGGGGATGTCGTTCGACTCGGTGGCTCCAGAAGTGAAAAAGATCTCCTTGGGGCTGGCACCGATCAGCGACGCCACCTGCTGCCGTGCTGCCTCACCTGCTGCACCATGCACACACAAAGCCCACCATTCCCCACACCAGCACTCACTTGTAGAAGTGAGCCACGCCCTTGATGGCAATGTTGTTGGACTCAGTTGCTCCAGTAGTGAATATGATCTCCTTGGGGCTGGCACCGATGAGAGACGCCACCTGCTGCCGGCACCTGCTGTTGCGCCTACCTGCTGCACCAGGCACACACTAAGCCAACCGTGCACCACCCATCACAACCACTCACTTGTAGAAGTGAGCCACGCCCTTGATGGCAATGTTGTTGGACTCGGTGGCCCCCGATGTGAAAATGATTTCTTTAGGGCTGGCGCCGATGAGAGACGCCACCTGCTGCCGTGCTGCCTCCACCGCCCCCTCACTCTCCCACCCGTACAGGTGCGTGCGCGAGTGCGGGTTGCCGTACTGCTCTGTGAAAAACGGCAGCATGGCGTCCAGAACCCGCGGATCCACAGGGGAGGTGGCCTGGGGGGGGTGGACGAGGGTGGAGGGGAACGGGGGGCGGGGTGGGGGACGCGAGTGCGGGTTGCCATACTGCTCCGTGAAAAACGGCAGCATGGCGTCTAGAACCCGCGGATCCACAGGGGAGGTGGCCTTGGGAGGGGGGAAGAGGGGGGAAGGGGAGGGGGGAAGAGGGGGGAAGGGGAGAGGGTTGAGAGGAGGAGAGTAGAAGGGGAGGGAAAGGGGGAGGGGCTGAGGGGAGGAGGGAGGGAAAGGGGGAAGTGGAGGGGGGGGGGGAAAGGGGGAGGTGGAGGGGGAGGGCGGGAACGGGGGAGGGGGTGAGGGGAGGAGGGAGGGAAAGGGGGAGGTGGAGAGGGAGGGAGGGAAAGGGGGAGGTGGAGAGGGAGGGAGGGAAAGGGGGAGGTGGAGGGGGAGGGAGGGAAAGGGGTAGGTGGAGGGGGAGGGAGGGAAAGGGGGAGGTGGAGGGGGAGGGGGTAGGGGATGGCGAAGGATGGGGCAAGAAGGCAGCAGGAAGGCAACACTGAAACTGCATGGAGATACGGAGGAAAAGAAATAGGGAGAGAAAACGCAAGAGCAAAACAGGCGGGGGAGAAATGTGAGGGGACAGTGGGACGCAAGGGGGGGAGAGGCACAGAAGCAAGAAAAGTGCGGTGAGCGTGGATCGAACACGCGACCTTCAGATCTTCAGTCTGACGCTCTCCCAACTGAGCTATCCCCGCCTGGAAGTACGGGCCGTGAAGCATCACTCGGCCCAAACCTAGCAATGACTGGGCAATTGTTGAGAAGTCTCACAAATTGCTCGCAAGCACTCCATTCATCCCCAATACCAGAGATGCCTGAGTTTGCCCCAAGGAATGCCTCGATATGCTTTACCTCGGTACGCAACACATGCTCAATCAACATTCGCGGTTACATCCCTCCTCATACACCAGCCATCCACTCGTTTCTACTTCCTTCCAGAAAAAGCATCGCGATACCTCGTTAAAACACAAATCCAGATTCAACTGAGGTTCCCCCCGTTATACGCACATGCATATCCAGGTACAGCGGCCGTCCCCTCATCTCCCACTCCATTCATATCCAGCGTGATCGGCTCGTCACTACACGCATCCTCGTTACAATCACCTCCGTTACACGCAATCCCAATACACGCACCTGCATATCGAGGTACAGCGGCCGTCCCCTCATCTCCACTCCCTTCACATCCAGCGTAATCGGCTCGTCGGTCTCAGGGGAAGGGGTCTTCTGCGCAAAAGCGGTCTTCACTGCAGCACTTTCGTTAGAAGCACGCTCGATTTCAGCACTTTGCGGCGAAACGTTCTGCGCATCGGCGGAAAACAGCCGCGACCGCAGAGAAAGCAACGGCGCCAGGGACGCGGGGCTGGCCGGGGTGTGATTGTATCGAGGCGGATGGGAAGCAAGGTGTGATTGTAACGAGGGTTGACGATGCTGCTGCTGATGAGAGCTCCTCATAACGTATGCGCCGCGCCGCGCGAGCCGCGCCGCCGCTGTGGCGATAGATCGGGTCATGGCTACTGTATCTAACAACTCTGTCTACAATCTGACGAGTCCGCTATCAACAATCCCGTTGACGAATCTTCTATCTGAACAATCCGTCTATAAATGTGACGGAATAGCTACGGAAAGCGTGAAGATGACGTGCGACCGGTACGTGTCGAACAAACTGGACGAATAAAGCGCAGCAGCGAACAACTTCAACAAAACCACTTGATCAAATTCTTCACAATCACCGACGCAGGTGACGCGCACCCCTGCTGAAGCGAGAGCGAAACGATGCCCTGAAAGAACTGACGAAGAGCTAGACCCCAGCCAGAGGTTATGAAAGCATCTTGGATTGGCAAGTCCAGGAATTACTAAGAGCATGAACCAGGAACAGGAAGCATCTGCTTTGGGAAGAATCATAATCAACAAGCAACAAACTCAGGTTTCCGGGGAGGTTTTGCCACGGTTCTTTAGGGTTAGCGAATGGTTCTTCCAGAAATCCTGAGGTGTGAATGCCAGGAATCCCTTCTCGACTGACGTGGCACACGAAGAACCTGTCAGGACGGGGCAGTGACCACGGAAACATGAAGAAGATGGAAGCTATTCGTTACACTTTCACCTAGTTATGTATAAGCATAGTATATTATTATCCATCCCTATAATTGAACCCACTCCTTCATTATCCACTTATGTACACACTACCAACCACAACATCATCAATACATCCTGCACGAAACTACAGCTTCGCTTTCAGAAGCCCTTCTCTCCATCCGCCTTTTAGCAGCCCAAACAAATACAGGAGGAGCTGTGGACATTATCTTGCACACTGGAGATACAACACTGCTGCTTCCACCACTCCCACCATTTTCCACACAGCCACATTCCCTGCTGCAAAAGCAGCTGCTCTTTCCTCTCATCGCAAGGTCATTAACACTTGCTCCTCTCCTCATCCCTCCCTTGTACTCTCCTGTTTTCTCATAGCTCTCTAGCCATGTAACAGCAAACCCACGCCGATGCGCAATATCCCCCTCCTTTGGCAGCACCTGACTCTGCTTGCTTGCAGGTTCCCCTGCCATGTCACCACGAGAATCCGCCTCGTCAGCTGCATCCTCCACTCTGTCCCATGTGGAATCAAAGCGGTCGTTTGCCAGGCAGCAAGCGCGCACCTGCTCCCCATTGCTCTGCTGCAGCTTAGAGAATCCATTTACTTCAACAACAGGAGCAAGAATCGGAGAGATGCGATCGGACGTAGCCGTGTTTGCGGTGCGAAGTACAGGTGCTGAGCAGGGGACCCAAGGATCCCTGACAGTCACAGCAGCTGGAAACTCCAGAGCTGGATTCTTGCAGGTTTCCAAATCCAGCAAGGCCCTTGGTTGGTCCTTGAGCCTGGAGACCACATCGTAGTCACGCGTTCTCGGAGCAAGTCTGGGAGATGGTGTTTGAGGAAGCAGCGCTGGGTTGGATGGCTTATGAGATGTTTGCGGAGCCTCAAAAGTCGGAGCAAGCCTTTGAAGAGGCGATTGCGGAAGTGCTGGGTTGAGTGAGCAGCCTGTTGCGCGGTTCCACGCCTCAAGCCGGCGATCTACGTTGGAGAAGCGCGACTTTGCAGCATTCATGACGGCCGTTGATCCGGAATCCATGATGCTGGTGTGCATAAAATCCACCCAAATAAGCTTGAAGCACTGATGTCGTTTTTTTTACGCTCCGGTACAAGCCTGATTCTGGAGGTGGAGCAGCGTAACGATGACAGCGGAAGCACTGAACCAGCGGAGGTGCAGGAGCTCGAATGTGTTCGTCAGAGAGTCTTGAGCTGATACCAGTAACGTAGCTCAACAGAGTTAGTACTACTAGTAGTAACGTGGAAGAATACGAAGCTGACTGAAAATGCTCAGACTCTCTCGCTTTAGAAATAGGTTCCAAGCGTGCTCCATGATGCGCCAGGCGAACGTGCGACGGTTCAAGGGTTTCCCGTGCGCTAGAGTCGCGAATGCGTACACACGCTCGCACCCAAAAGGAAGCTCCCGAGGAAGCTAAGTACAGTACAGTGCTAAAAAGGGACTTCAGCCTAGGCTTACCGTGCAGCCGCATGTCCAGTGGGGCTGCGAAACCACACACAAGAGCGAGAACATCATATCTGCGCTGATCACCAAACGCGGTCGCTGTTTTCACGGTCTACGCTCAGGCAGAGCTGAAAATCACGCCATCCAGAACTGATCAGATCTGCGATCAGCAAAAAGGCGGTGGCTTCTTCCGTTTCCTAATCACTTTTTGTCTCTAAAAGGAGGACGCATCTCTACAACTGTAGCAGCGTGTTCAAAAGTGAGATGTAAACGGAGCTTGACAGACGTCGAGGAAGGTGAAGTGTCGGATAATAATCCCCAAGAAAAATCCGACGGCTCACCGCCCTCAACCTCCGTCAACATCTCACACTGTACACGCTCTAAAGCCGAGCTTCCACCCATCGGGACCTCGTTACATTTCATTCAAAAACGCTTTTGCCTTTAAGCGTATAGCGTTTATCCGCTTGCGTATACACGCAAAACGCTATACGCTAACGAATACGCAATACGCTCGGGGGTTTTTTTTTGGGCTGCCCAAAATCGAAAATTTTCGAGTATATCTAGAAAGTTCCGTCTTTTCACGGCGAAGAAGATGCCGTGCTCGAAATGCACGTCCGAGGTCTACCCTGGCCTGGACGTGCCTTCAATGTGTGGAGGTGGGTTTGTTTCCGTGATTTCAATTCGCGGCGCCGGGATTGTGAGTTGGGTTACGTGGCACCAGTCTTTGGAGTCGCGATGTCCTTGACATTTCACATTGGGGTTCCACCCATTTCAACCGCTCTCGATCTACAACCTCCCTCCAATCCAACTTTGTTCCCACCAACAAATCCCACGCTACTTAACAAGCAGGTATAATTCTCTCTCGTCAATTCATCCTCCCGTCATTGTTCAGAGCTCCTTAGAATGGCTTCTGCAGTTGTTAACCCGACCCAGCCCACTCCCCCTCCTGATACCGGCACGGCCAGTCCTGATCGTGCGACGCGAGTTTACCTTCCAGATGTCGACCACGAGGTGTTCAAGCATTTCCGCCGCATAAAGGTGGACGAGGGGAAATCGCAGCAGTACGAGTGCAGGTACTGCTGCAATGTTTTTTCTGGTGCCGCCATCCGCTGCGCGCAGCACTTGGCGAGTTGGCGGAAGATGAAGCGCCGCGAAGTGGCGCTATGCAAGGAAGCCCCCCCCTGAAGCGCGGGCGGCCATGCGGAAGAAATACGAGGCTAAGGCTGCAGCGGCGGCTTTGCGCCGCGAGGCGACATCGGATGCCATTGCCTCGGTTACCAGCAGCGGCAAAAGGAGCTGCATTACTGACTACTTGGAGACGGATGCGGCAGCTGGGAAGCGCGAAGCACATGAGGCGTTGGCGCTCATGTTCGCGGGGTGTCGCATCCCTGAGCGCGTCGCGGATCACCCGCTCTTCATCAACGCCGTTTGTGCCATTCGGGACGCCGGCACAGGATACGTCCCACCAAAGAAGGGGTTCATCGGCGGGGCGGGCTTGCGACTGTGCTGCGACAGCATCGACAGGGGGCTTTCTGGAGTGAAGGCGAGCTGGAAGCGGACCGGCGTGACAATTTCTTCTGACATGATGACCGATAAGAACGGTCGCCCCCAGGCGAACGTGTTTCTCGTCAACGAGAGTGGCGCGGTGTTCAAGGACTGCGTGGACTGCCGCATGGAGAGTAAGACCGGCGGTTACGTCGCCAGCATCCTCAGGCCCGTGGTGGAGGAGGTCGGACCGGAGAACGTGGTGGCGTTCTGCACGGACGGGGGGTCCAACTACGCAGTGGCGTGCAACCAACTGATCGCGGAATGGCCGCACATTCAACACGTGCCCTGCGGCACCCACATGTTGGACCTCTTCATGGAGGACGTCGGCAAGATGCCGTGGGCCAAGAATGTGGTGGACCCTGCGGGCGATATCAGCTCCTTCGTCCGCAACCACCACTGGACGAGGGGATACTTGCGGAACCCGCAAATGGTGGGTGCAAGGATGCTGCAGGCGCTGAAACCGGCGGGAACCAGATTCGGGACACAATACATTGTTGTGTCCCGTCTCTGTCAGCTGCGGCAGTCGCTTGCACAGATGGTGGTGTCTGATGTGTGGAAGGGCTGGGCAGTTGGGGACAGGAAGAAGCCTGCGGAGAAATTTGCAGCGCAAATTCTTGATGACGCGTGGTGGAAGACGGCGGAGTTTTTCTGCAAGTTGATGAAGCTCCCGTTCTTCGCAATGCGTAAGACCGATGCGGATGCCAAGGGGATCATGGGCCGTATGTATGACATTATGTTGCAGTTGACCGAGGATGTGGGGACAGTGGTGGAGGAGGATGAGGAGCAGCTCTCCCACTCCGACAAGGTGCAGATCCGCCGCCTGCTGAGGGACAGGTGGGACGGCAGCCTCGCCTGCCCCATGCACGTTGCGGGGCGGATTCTCAACCCGGCGAACCGGGATGAGGACATCTTCGGCTCAGACGCGGAGTGCACAAAGGTATTCAAAGCCTTCATCACTCAGCACGCCGAGCACCTTTGCAATCACGGGAAGGAGGGGGAAGATGGGGATGACATTGGGGAGGTTTTGATGGAACTGCAGGACGGGGTGAGGGCATTTCTGGATATGAAGGGAAGTTTCGGGATGGGGGATGCAATTGCTCAGAGGAACTTGGTCAAGGAGGGCAAGTATGACATGGTAAAGTGGTGGCAGTGGCACGGCACTGACGCACCAAAGCTGGCGGCCCTCGCCATCAGGACTCTCTCTCAGCCCGTGTCAGCTTCACCATGTGAGAGGGGATGGTCAACGTGGGAGGGGGTGCACACGGCCCGCCGGAACCGGCTTGGCTCTGCCAAGTGCCGGGATTTGGTTTTTGTTGCGCACAACTGGAACGTTGTGCGCAAGTGGCATTCCCGTGCAGATATCATGCCGGGTGTGGTGCTCGGAAACATGCCGGAGCCTCCCGTGCCCGAGGGCTACAATGTGGTGGAGGGGGACGAGGAGAAGGAGGAGGAGGGGGAAGACGACATTCTGGAGGATGAGTATGAGTAGGTGGCGTTATTGATGGAGTAGCGTGAGTAGTAGTATGTGTGGTAGTAGTATGAGATGAGTATGTGTCATTGTAATGTTGGTGGTGAATAAGTTTGAGTCGGGAAAAAAATCTGGGAAATCCAACCCCTGTGGAAACTGACCCCAGAAGTATATCAGGGGGGTCAAAATTTAGCTGCCCGAACTTTTTTAAAACCTGCCCGAAATAGAGTATCGAGGGTCTCGGGACCTCTGCGTATAGCGTATAAACGCGAGCGTATATACGACACGCGTATATACGCTAAACGCGTATATGGTCACTTAGTTTTAAAATTAATGAGGGTATAATCTAACATTCCCTTCGCGAGATAACGGCAGTTAAAACACTGCCAATGCCGATATTCCCCCTATCTCGGAGCACTAAGTGTGCGTTTCTTCAGACGGAAAAGCATCCGGCTGTAAAATAATAGCCTTGAAGTCTTTGGGTGCCCATCTCATTACCCGAAACGAATAAAGGGTGTTTGAAACAAAACAGTTCACGTGGTTAAAATACCGCGGACTAGGTGTACACATCACCTCACCAGTACGAACAAGAATGCTGGGGTTTTGAGTTGAGCACGCACTGTTACTGAACTTATTTGCTCCCCACGCAGCTACAGCGCTTCTGGCACACCGTTACTACCCAGAATTCGCTCACAGCACAGAGTTATGTGCTTTCAACGCATTTTTGCTTTCATTGGTCATAGAATTGGTTTGGTTGACGGCCACTGAACCATCAAACGCTAGCATTTTGGGCATAAACAAAACAAAACCCTCTCAGGTGGCGTGTTTTTCGAGGGAGTCATCAACCCTAAACACCGGGCGATAAGATGTTTAGGGTTGTGTATAGAATTGAGATAAGGACAAAGGAGTATGATTGCACACTAGAATAAGACAAGAGTGAACAGTAGAGCTGTAACATATGAGGATGAGCTTGATAGAAGTAAAGATGATGCTTAGAGCTTGTGACTATAAAGAGAAACTTGTGTAAGATGGAATGCTTGATGAGATAAGAACTCAAAAGAGAAGAGGAGTGTGAGTTTGTTGAGAGAATAAGAGAGGTGATAAACACTTACTTGAGAGGTGAATGTTACTAGGGATATTTGTAGAGGTGACTTGAAAGGATGACTTGGTCTTGGGAGCTTTACTTGAAGAAGAACATCAAGCTTGGTGTTGGGTGATGAGCCTTCCTCAAGCTTGTAGGTAATGATGAATCTTATACTCAAGTAGAGTATGAGGTGACTACTCTTTACTTGATGCTTAGCTTTGTAGACTAATGAGAGAGACTTTGTGAGCATAAACTTATATTGAAAGAGGTATAGTACAAGCCTTATAGATCCATGAGGGATACATAGGCGTGCATAGAAGAGTAACCGTCAGTGGTAGCCTTGGAAGAGAGTAGCATGAGAGTGTCAACTTTGGAGACAATGAACTTGGTTGCTAGTGAGGAGCCTTTGTAGTAGAAGAGGAGCTTGAAGGAGAAGCTTGGAAAGGAGCTTGATGAAGAAGCTTGGAATGCATTGTTGTCATTGAAGAACCTTCTTGAGAAATTGTAAAGATGCTTGATGTAGATGAATAGTGTTGGAGCATGTGGTGGTGGTTGAGCACTTGGTGAGTTGGAGTTGTAGGCCTTGTTGAGTTGGAAGAGAGCTTAGTGAGTTGGATAAGGATGAGTGGAGGAGATGATGAGCTTTGTTGCCTTGGGATAGGAGGTGATGGGATAATTATGAAGTCATTGAGGGATGAGTTGGCAACTTTGGTGACTTGGGAAAGGAAGGAAGGAAGGAATAAATAAGAGGCATGTGAAGGTTGATGACTAGGAATTGGAAGCATGTGCTTGAAGGCACATGGAGGGAGGAATATTGGAGGAGGTAGATGACTTGGATAATATTTGGTGAGTAAGGAAAGAAAGTACATGGAAAATCATGAGGAGTCATGTGCCTTGTGGTGGGACTTGGAGGTGAATAGAAAAAGTTGTTGAAGTCTTAGTTGAGTTGGATTAGGAATGGCTATGGTGGTTGGGAGAAATTAAAGAGGTGGTTGATAGGCTTGAGTTGGAGTGGATGAGTTGGAAAAGGAAGTTTGTAACTTGGGTGGTTGGAATGGGCTTTGGAGGAGTTGAGTGGTTTGGATGGGTTCTTAGGAAAATGTGTCGAGGGTGTTTTGAGGGGAAGGGGTTGGAGTGGCACAGTAGCGTGGCACGTGAAGATCGTGCCATTCACAACAGGTTGATGCCCTTCTCAATGGCATGTCTCGATTGGGCATCAGCCCTAAACAACATTCGGTAGGTGTTTAGGGCTGATACCCTCTTAAAGGGGTATACATATTTTTTAGCACTAAAAACATATGTAAATGGTTACTATTTTCTGTGACAGCATCCACAGGTTCGGTTTGTAGTTATGTGCCATGTGTGGACTAATGAAATCAAAGCTGCGTTGAAAGCACATGTTTCTGCGCTCCGGGCGAAAACTGGCTGGAACCGAGGCTGAAGGTGTAACCCTGTGACGACCGTTGCGTAGCTGAGTCGTCAACCCAAGAAGCGTCTGCGTGACCAGTGAGGACAACTGGACCCCGTCCTCCAAGCACGAGCCCCATGCCCGACGTACTGCACAAGTAACGCAGTACCCTCTTTGCAGCATCCCAGTGCACCTTTCGGTGCCTATCGGGAGCCACGTAGCGAGCCAGGAGGCTGAGAGGGTACGCGAGGTCAGGTACATGAGGCAACCCACGAGCTCTGGGTACGGACCACTCAGCTCTACGGACTCGTCCGAAGGAGGAGCTGAGAGCGAGTGGCCCGTAGACAGAGGGGTGGGCTGTGGTAAGGAGAACTGGAAGTCGAAGCGCTGAAGAATCTGGTGCACCATGTGTGACTGAGTCAGTGTGATGGTGCGCCGTGCTCTGTCCCGGGTGATCTGCAAGCCAAGATAGCTGCGCAGTTCACCCAGGTCAGTGCACGTGTGTCTCTTCTGCAGCTCCGACTTCACAAGGGTCAGTGCCTCAGTGTTAGCAGTGGCAAAGACCAAGTCGTCGACGTACACGAGGACGTAGAACGGCGGCAGCGAACGGGTCAGCAGTAGAAGGAGCAAACCCAAGAGCCGCAAGTGTAGTCCTCAGTGTGTCGTGCCACTCGCGAGGCGCCTGGCGGAGACCGTAGACTGGCCGCAGGAGGCTCCACTGGGTACCTGAAGGAAACGACCCAGTGAAGCCAGGTGGGCGGCGCAGCCAGATCTCCTCGTGCAGGCTGCCCTGCAAGAAAGCTGTGCTGAAGTCCATAGAGTGCAACTCGTAGTCCCGCTGAGCAGCGACGTGCAGCAACACCCGAAGAGTAATCATTTTTGGGGTGGGGGAGAAGGTCTGGAAGTAGTCAACCCCCTGTCGCTGACTGAAGCCTCGAGCAACGTAACGCGCCTTGAAGGCAGGCGGAGAACCCGGCGGTCGCTTCACCTTGAAAATCCACATGCCATCGACTATGTTCGCCCCAGGTGGGGGAACCTCGTCGACGTAGGTGCCTGTGGACTTCCAAGATGCCATCTCGGCATCCATGGCTGCCTGCCACTGAGAGGAGTAGGGACCCGTAATCGCCTCTGCGTAAGAGCGCGGGGTCGGGATGTTTGGTGCATCCGGGTCTCCCTCAGGGGCAAGCAGCATGGAAACGAAACGAGGTACAGCAGTTGCAAGACACTCAAAGTCCTCCTGCCTGTCCTCAAGGACGTCCGTGCCAAGAGCACACTCACCCCCGACGGACGGAGGACTGGCAGACGCAGACTCAGCAACAAAAGCAGTGGCGTAGTCTAGACGACAGGCTGCAGCAAAGTCAAGCATCTCAGCAACGAGGGCAGACGCAACAGCAGACTCAAAGGAAGGGTCAGTGACAGCAGTGGCGAGGAGACCAGAGACAGTGGAACTAGTAGCACGAGCGCGGTCAGACTCAGGGTCACGGACGGCTGGAAGAGAGGACTCAGGAGGAGCACGTAGTGGAACAGAGGACGGACGAAGTGCCATAGCCTGCGTGCCGAGGACAGGAGGAGGACGCGAACGAGGAACGCGACGAGCAGTGCGAACAGGCGAGACAGGACGAGACGCAGGCTCACGACACTCTGTAAGACCGCCGGACTGTTCAGTGTAAGGAGAAGGAGCAGGCAGTGGGGAGGCCGGCTGTAACGGCAGCTGCGACTAGTCAGGTGGTGGACATAGGAGGGGAGGAGTAAGGCTAGTAGAAGACGGGACACCAAGAACCTGCTGAAGAAGGGGAAGGAAGTACGGTCGCGGCCGCACAGTGCCTCAAGGGTCAACAGCTCCAGCTCCTCCAGCTCCAGCGCCTCCAGCGCCAGTGCCACCAGCTCCAGCTCCTCCAGGCTCCATAGGGTCTCCAGCTCCAGCGCCACCAACACCACCAGCCCCGGCAGCTCCAGTACCCCTGGTACGAGCACCTCCAGGACCAGTAGGCGCAGTACCTCCAGTACCACAAGCTCCAGCAGTAACTCCAGCACCTCCAGCTCTAGCGCCTCCAGCTCCGGTAGCTCCACTCCGAAGGCGTGCGCGCCGAACAAGCCACTCACGCAAGTGCTGCGGAGACAGTCTCGGCGAAGCACCAGCAGGACCTCCAGACGAAGCAGCACCCTAAGGCTCAGCACCCCCAGACTCCGCACCCTCCGACTCAGCACCCCCAGGCTCAACACCCTCTGGCTAAGTACCCCCAGGCTCCACACCCGCAGGCTCAGCACCCCCAGGCTCCTCACCCCCAGACGCAGCACCCCCAGACGCAGCACTTCAAGCAGCACCTGAGCCGACAGCTGCCTCAACAGGCGCAGTACTAGGGAGAGGGTCTACCTAAGACACACCTGAGGGAGCAGGACCCTCGGGGGGGAGGGGGTCTACCGGAGGGAGGCCTGGAGCAAGGAAGAGCAGCAGGGGCGGGGGAGGGGCAGAGCGGTAGGGGAAGAGACGGTAAAAGGGGATTGACTCGTCAAACGTGATGTCCTGAG